TACTTTGTATTCCCCATGTCTCAATTTTCCCGTTGCAGTTAGGAGTGATGGATTAGAATTAGGCTGCAGCACAGATTGGTAGAATCTCCCAGCATCCTCTTCCTGCAGAGGCATCAGCTTCCAGCATTGACTGTAGCTGCTGCCACTCTCACTGACATTTTTTTTGAATTCGGCTATGGAGAGTGCCTCTGGTGCCTCTGTTGCTAGCTGCTGGCATGGAAACTTTTATTCTTTTTGACTGATAACTCATTAATGAAACCTCATGGATATTGAGAAATAAAACAGAATCACTTTTCTCTTTATGCTTTTCTTTGTCTTTTTGCCTTTTTTTTTTTTTTTTTGGTGTGTGTGTGCGCACGGTGGAAAAGAGTGAAAGAAGCAGCACTTATTTTTACATAAGGACTGTATTTACATACCTGAAGTTAACTGAATTAATCCTGTAAGTATATTATCTCTGTCTAATAGTCCTTGAAATCAGTAATGGGTTAGTAAGATTTATAGGATTTTTTTCTGTGAAAATTTGCTTTGGAATGTGTGTCAAAATACAACATTGTTGTTATTTTATATAGATTTCCTTTTAGATAAAAGAAAAAGATATATTCACAATGGGATTATGAAATAATTGCTTTTCCTCTGCACTTTGCAGTGGTGAACAATGCTTTTAGAGAGCAGAAGCTTCTCTGCTGATGTCAGTGCTTAATCAGCTCAGATACTGTAGGTTGCAGAACACTGCAAGGTGTGTATTTTGGGATTGTATTTTGGGATTTGTCATTCTTTAAAATGTAGTAATTTAAGGACTGTATCAGACTTAGAGCTACTTTTTCCATTTATAGACTGTCTTCTGCTCCTGGTAGCTGTGCTGGTTTAACCATTTGAGGTTATATAATTTTTTACTTTAACATAAATAATTTATTTCATGGGATGCAGTGCAGTGCTTTCAAGGTATTAAATGTTAAGTATAATGCAGTGTGCTTTTTAGTTATTTCAGAATATACCTCCAGCATAGGCTGTAAGTTCCCTATGTAATAAATTCAAGTAAATTGCTTTGAAGTTTAGGAAGAGTGTCTTGCTAGGATCATGGTGTCCTAATTGTCTCTTTGGATCTGGGCCAATATTTGTGTGACGCAGTGTTAGTCCCAAAAACATCTGGCCTGATCTGATGTCCTACTTGCAGCATGATTTTTTTTCCTCTATAGCAAGATAAGTGAAATTTTTATTCATTTAATGTAAAACTGCCAGTGAACTGTAATTATTTCATATATGCTAGCTCTTCAAGGAGGTTCCTTCTCAACCTATTTTCTTGTCAGCATGCCTTATTTGGACCTACTTTCTAGTAGAAATATTGAACAGATCAAAATTATGTAATTTTTAAGGTGAACATCTATTTGTCTGTATCTGCATGCTAATATGTTAAATTTTGGCAGTATTACTCTCTGCCATATTCAGGTGATCATTTTTGTACACCATATTGCATGCATTGACCTCAGCTTATTTGATACAAGCTATTAGTCTGATAAGGAGGATACAAACATAGTAAATTCTCAGTTTACCTGCAAAGATCTCATCTTAAAACTTATATCTGAAAATACTGTCTAAACACTGAGTTCCATTAAATATATCTGATAATCTTTTAAAGTGTTGTGTATTCCCATTAATGTTGAACAGAAAAGTGTAAATTGAATTTTTCTTCTACTTGTTAACCAATATTGACTCTTACTTGATTTTTCTGCCTTTGCAGTCAGACTGGTCAATTCTAAATGCCTGTGATCTGATTGTTTTGTTGTTGATTCTAAATGCCTGTGTTTTTGTTTTAAGCTTTCATATATTTAGTGTCAAATTCATGCTGGAGTGACTTAAGTAGGATTATTTTGTAATCATTTTAGTGATCAGATTAACTATACATGCCTGTTCAGGTGGGTAAATAGTAACTTAAGGAATTGGCCTGTCTTGCTTTCACAATATGGCTGAGTCCTTACTGGAAATTTGGGTCTCCCCTTCTGTCCATGTGCAATCTGCTGTTGAACTTAAGAACTTGTTATATAAAGCTGCTGATGCTTCTCAGATGATAAAAAAAACACCTGACTTGAAGTTAATGGATTACTTAATCAATTAAGTAATTAAAGTTTACTGAATCTGAATAATGATCAGTCAAAATCTGGAACACTTGGCTATGCTCATGTATATTTTTTAAAATACAAACAAGATAATAAAGTGGCAAGAAATGCAGCCTGTGTTGTTTTCAGTGTAGTAGATTCTATTGGCAATGGTGGATTGATGGTGAGCCAGCAAGATGAGCTTCATCTTGGCACTATATCCTGTGGCACCTGAGATTCAAGCAGATGGTCAACTTAGTCTAGATTTTCTTCCTTTGTGCTTATTCTATTGCTTTGTTGCAACTCTAGAGCAATATGTGAGGAGACACCAACCAGTATTTTCTTGCATTGTTCAGCTACTGCATTGGTAGAGATATACAGATAAGCAAAATCCATGTTTTAAATAAGACAGATGACCAGGAAAGTTCCCTGTCTCATCATCCATCTCCACCCCCTTAGTCATTGAAATATTTGGAAGCTAAACCTCTTGATCTTTCTTGTAGTCAACTGTTAGATTCCCGAGAGGCAGCGCTGTGGGTGCTGGGCTGCTTTCTGACTGGAAGGCAATCCAGTGCATATTCTCTTAAGTTGGAGATTGCAAACAAAACTTACATGCAGAGCGTAAAGCAAATAAACATTCATCTCCAGACACATGGTGATCTGAATTTAAATTTCCAAGATCAGATGAGACTTCCAAGATAGAATTTTTGTTTGTACAGAAAGGTTTTGTTTGGTTGGTGGCCTTCTATTGCATTTCATTTGTAAGACAGCATTACAAATGCAGCAGCATTACTGCTGCTGTGAGCAGTAATAACTCCTAAAATAGAACATTGTCACTTGTAGGTAAATCTGTTTAGTTTAGAAGAACTAAGACCGAGAGTTCTAGTTCTAAAAAGAAAGAGAGGGCAAACACTTTTCCTAAGTGTTAGCTAGCAGGTTTCCCCAGCTCCCAGCTTCTGGTCTTTAAGACAGAGCTGTATCTGCCATCCTTGCCCTTGCCTTGTTACATTACATGTAACATTATAGCTGTTAATGTATAGCAAGGGATCAATTAAAATCCTCTCTTAGTGAAATTCCAGTAGTCTATGAAAAGCTATCAGCCTCACCTTTTTGACAATGCTAAGGTATAGCTAAAAACTGTGAAGTCATTCTCAGCTCATTTTAGTGTATATTATTTTAGTAATAATTGGTTTGCAATAGGAGCAGCTGTCTCCTTTTTTCTCCCTCAGTTACCTCTTCCTTTCTCACTGTTTTTCTGAGTGCCATCTCCTTTTCCACAGCTGTTCATTTTGAAAAATAGTTTTCAGTGCTTTCTCTTTATGTATACAAATGCATAATATCAGCTAGCTTCTGTTTCTTTTTACTCTGAATTATCTTTTCTGACGCAGATGTAAGATGAGGGAGAAGAAACATTTAAAAAAATCCTAACCCAAAAATAAACAAAAGCCCAAAACAATGAAAGAAACCCCCCAGTGCTATTAAAGGAAAGGAAAATGCCCCAGTGGTGAGTTGGCTTGATCATTCAAAGGATTGTATAGGCAGGTCCATTGGTATTGCAGCAATGATCCAGAAATTCACTGATATACATACAACTAGCTGGTTAAATGCTGCTATCTCATAGTCAGGTAGTGCTGAGGAGGGAGGTGCAGCAACACTGACCTGAATTGCTTTCTACCATGGTGTTTGCATCATGCACATATTGCCAGCTCTGCGGGTGGATAGTTGTCTCAAAAAATTCAAACGGAAGGTAGTACCAAGGAAGGGCTTGGATAATAACAATGCTGTTTGTCTCTCTGCTATAGAATAACATTTCAAATACAGTGTGAGGAAGTCCTAAGGGAGGAATAAGTGAAAATAAGTGTGCTACCCTGATGGCTTTGCCTGAATACCAAGCTACATAGCCTAATGTAATTTAAAATAAATGACTGTTTAGGGGGTGTTTTGTTACTCAGTTGTGTGTTTTCTGGTGGGGTATTTTATTATTTGTTTGTTTCTTTCTTTTCAAATTTGCCTGATGTTTGGTATATTTTATTTAGTGAGCTTTTAAAGTAATTTTTGCCCATTTGCAAATTTGGCTAGCACAGTACTGCATAGTTTTGCTGCCAGTTGGATTTTTTAAAATGAACATTCAGCATACAGAATATTGCATACATTAGTGAAGTTCTGGAACAGTGAGACAGTGAACCTTCAAAGGAATAAAGTCTGCCTTGCATTGGCAAGAATTTTTTTTCACTGCTTACTATAAATAATTTATTTACCTAAAATTCATGCTTGTCATAAAATGGGGTGTATGCATCATGAATGCAGAATTTGCTGTGGTGGTATGGCTAGTATATACAATACATGGGTAAAATATGTTACTGCTTACTATACTGACCAATTGACTGAAGTTTTCAGACTTTCTATATTAATGGTAATAGCCTGGAATAGGAAATGCTTTATATAAATTGCAAATAATTTCAAATGCTTAGCGGTATACCTTAAAGCATTTTTCTTATGGCATTTAGCCATTTTTCTGTTGTGTGATTATAAGTGGTGTTGAACACTGAGTTTTAGAGTTCACAACAATCTTTCTGTTTTCATTTAAAAAATATTGATCACATGATCTTATATTTCTCCAGGATTATTTTAAATTAATACAAAAGGTTTAAGGATCCGCTTATTCATAAACTGGATGTGATAGGCCACTTTAAAATATTGTGATCCCTTTAATCTCAAGGATGAGGTATACTTTAATATCTTTACAGCAAGAAATGCTCAACTATGAGACAGGTTACTCAATTTGATTCTGCATTTCTGAATTATTTTCTGGGTGAAAGCATGCCTGTAGGTGAAATAATAAAATTTCAGCTTCGTGAGACTTGCCTAATGGCTCTTCAGACGCTGAGTCCTCTATCTGTCCAACAAGATACTGAAAGATATATGCCAGCTCTAGCATAGTGTGGGATTGTGCAGTTTCTTGCATATGTCAGTAGTCCCTCAGAATAATGCACGTTCATAAGAATTCTTTAGTTTCAGACTTGACACAGGACTTGTTCCTGAAGGTTTTACATTTCTGCTTGTATTTGTTTAAAACCAAATCATACAGAAGTCTCTGACTTGTGACATAAGAGTAATCCCTTGTATAAGAAAATCCAACACAACTAAAAAAGCTATTTCCATTTGCTTTTTTGAGCATTTCCTGAATGTGTCAGTAGATTATATTACCTTCAGCCATCCTTCACTAAACAATCTAGAACATAAAATGTACACCTAACGGAGTATCTCAGTAGGATTTTGCAACAAGTTATTTTTTTCATTTCATGATGCTCTTTGTGGTCATTTGCCATGAAAACTAGTGCAACCC